GGAGCCAGACGGCAGCTAGAGCCCATCATCATCCTCATCTGGTTGTAAGTAGGCAATCTAGTATATTATTCGTGGCACTAATCTCTAATTTACCTCACATTAAAGGGACACTATAGTCCCCAGAACCACTGCAGCTTAATGTAATGGTTCTGGTGTCTAGCCTGTCCCTGCAGGCCTTTTAATGTAAACACGGCGGAACTGCAGCACTGGTGTTAGTTAACATGGCAGATCATATGGGTGGGGCATTGTGATGTCACATGGGGGGCGGCAAACTTTACTTTTGCCTAGGACGGCAAAAATCCTTGCACCGGCCCTGCAGACACTGCATCCCTGTGGGCGGATTCGGGGGGGGGAGGGGGCAGCACTTTGGGCAGACTCGGGTGCAGGCACCGGGGGGCCCAGACCTTGAGCTGTGTCAAGGGCCCCAACATTTCTGATGGCAGCCCTGGCTGTGCATATGCCCGGGGTTGCTTATGTTACAGTGGATGCTCTTTCTCGTTTTCAGTGGTGGGAATTCAGGGCGGCGCCCAGGCAAGAGAGGTGGGCTTTCCCTGCTCAGCGGACCTGTGGGGCCTTGGGCTGACTGTATAATGTCTTGGATCCGGGGTTCGGTCTCGGAGTCTACTTAGCCGCATTATGATAATATGGCATGGAGCGAGTGGGTGGAATTTGAGAGGCAGCTCAGTGGATTTTGGTCTGATGGTGAGCGGGTGCAAGATTTGTTACAGATCATTTGGTTCTGGGAAGCTTTGCGCTGTTCCTCCTCGGCGGTGTCTGGTAAGTTGTCTGGGCTGAGCTTTTGCTTTAAGCTCACCAGGGTGTCGGACATCACTAAGGATGTTCTAGTTTCATTGGTTATGAGGGGTTGGCGTAAGGGGCCCAAGCTTTTGGATTCTCGGAGGCCCGTATCATGTGCTCTTATGGTGGACTTGTTCACTGTTCTGCCGCAGGTTTGTTTCTCCCTATTCGAAGTGGTATTGTTTCGGTTAGCATTCTCCTTTGCCTTTTTGGGGCCATGTGGGTGGGCGAGCTTGTGAGCCCATCCAAAACGGTCCCTGGGGGTTTGTTATTTGGGGATGTCTGTGGCGAAGCGGATCCAGTGAGGTTTTTGATTCGCAAGTCCAAGACGGACGTCCTTGAACGGAGTACTTGTGTCATGTTACCCAGGACATACTTGAAAACGAGAGAAATCTCAATGTATCTTTCCTGGTAAAATATTTTATAAATAAATGTTACGAAGACTACCTGGCTCTATGGTCATGCCCAGTGGGCATGGGTCCTTTGTTGGTTCACGGGGATGCCAGGTTCCAGTTTTTCGCATGGCTTTGGAGGTTTTGAGGCTGCCTAGTGCAAAGTTTAGGGGACACTGCTTTCAGATAGGGGCGGCCACTGAGGCATCTCGTCTGGGGTTGGCTGAGGAAGTTATCCAGAGGATTGGGAGATGGGAATCTGTGAGGTTCCGATCGTATGTTAGTCCAGCTGGACTGATTCCGTTTCCCCTTTTGTCGCTCTAAGCGCTGGACAGCGAATACAGGTCATCGGCCATTCTTATATCCATTAGGCACAACAGTGGGCTGAAGTTCGTCCCGGGGGACTACAACTGGGTGGTAGAAGTCCGTTGGTTCGGTACCCGGGGGATGCGTTGGGAATGCCTGTTGCCTGAATTGGTCTGTTTGTCCAGACTACTTGGTGTTCCCGATATAATTCTGATACATGCTGGGAGAAACGACCTTGGCACTATTCCGTAGTGGGATCCAGGGGAGATGATCCAGAAGGATTTGGCTGAGCTATCGCTCAGATTCCCGAAGGTGTATCTTATGTGATCCAAGGTGCTATCTCAGAACTATTGGATGGGGGCAAGAGACCCCAGGGCTCTTGAACTGAGCAGGATTAAACTAAATAAGCGGGTTTCAAGGTTTGGGGGGCTCATGGTGCGTCACCACATCTTTGAGCGTAATGCAGCGATTTATTTTAGGAGTGATGGGGTCCACCTGACAGAGATAGGACTGGATTTATTTATTTAATTTGGCATTGCAGGATGCATTAGAGGAGGCCATGGCTTTGGTATTGGGGCAGCACCCCTGATTTAGGGGAAAAACCAGCGGGTCTTTTGGTGGTATATGGCCCTTATCCACCAGGAGTTGGACCAGCGGTCCATGGAAAATGGATGGGTAGGGCTGTCCCTCCCCTAACCTCAGCTACAGTTATGGATAACAGATGTGCCCACTGCACCAATAAGCGGCTCAGTGGGCATTACAAAATGGAAGGCCCAAGAAAAGGCCTTGTGCTGGTTGTAACGAGGGGGCACCTGCCCTAAGTTATGTTTGGTTTGCAAGGTGGTTATCAGTGACATATCTATTTACTGAGTAATTACGTATATAGTGTTTTATGTTATAAAGTTGAAGTTTAAAGATTTATATATTTATATTTTAATAAAGCTGTGGCCTATTTTAATCCAAAGCAAGTCTGCTGTGGTTCATTTTGGGAAATAAGAGATTGGGTTTATCAATGGTGAAGGTTTATGCCCATACACATTTACCCTCTATCTACGCACATGTGCCTTGGCCAAACTCGGTGCAACTTCTCAACTCAATGAATCTGGAGAGTGTGAGCCTAGGGAGCTTACTCATTAAGAAGAACATAAAGGCACCAGAACCACTACAGCTTACTGCAGGCTGAGCAGTGTAAATGTTGCCATTTTTGAGAAAAGACATTGTTTACATTGATGCCTAAATCCACCTCTAGTGGATGGAGGCTCAGGAGACAATGTATTTAAAGGCAGATTTACTGTGAATACAATTTGCATCTATTTTTCAGCTTGTTGGCAATGATAGATGTTACTGTTGTGCATTAAACCAATTCCCCATTGACTTTTACAAGAATGTGCCACACGTAGTATGAGAGATTCCCATCTTTGCACAGCTGTACGCATAATATATAAAGACTTTCTCTTTCTATCTCAACAGAAACAAAATGCATTATTAAATAATACATATTTTCAAAAAAACAAAAACAAATAAAGAAGTTAAATTACATATAAAAGATACTAAATAAACTCAATTTATCATTATTTGCTTTCACTTGTTTGGTAATATTTTTCTATAATTAGCAGTAAAAGAAACACTATAGTGTTAGGAATATAAACTTGTATTCTCAATGCTAGGGTGTCCATGTCCCTGGTTCTATAAAGGTCCACCCACCCCCACTGTTCACCATGAACATAATTTTAAAAAGTATTACAGAAGATAGATGCCACTAGAGATGGAACCTTGAAGAGTAAATATTTCCTTTTCTAAAAAAAAACTGCAATGTGGGGCGCGGCCTGCACGCTGAAGCAGATGGTCGCATGGCACTAGCGCTCCGCTCTGAGATTAGCCCACGAAGCGAATAAACACAGCAACCCTCGAGATAAAACCCGCCATCACCCGCCCCACAAGCATGGCACAGCAGAAGGGTAAGAAAATCCCTGAAAGGGCCGACAAATCAGGCTTCTTCACAGCGCGATCCGCGCCAAACAGAGCCCAGGGCCAGCATGATGTGGACCAAGATGGCGGCGGAGACGACACCCTTCCTCTCCAGAACTCACCAGACCCTGGGAATCTCCCCTTCACACAAGAGATCCTGAGAGCATGCCTGGACAAAATGTCCGACAAACTGCTCAATAAGATCCAAGCATCGGTCACTGCACTGGGCAAAGACATCCAGGAGTTGGGTGAAAGAACAGCACACGTGGAGAACCGCATGGGCGAATATGAAGAAGCCCACAATGACCTAGCGGACCATGTTCAAGCCCTGGAAAAGCAGCTTACCTCAGCCCAGCTCAAGCTCTCTGATCTGGAAGACAGGTCATGGAGGCAAAACCTGAGAATACGGGGAATACGGGAATCGGTAATGCAAGCTGACATACCCGAATTCCTGACGGGGTTCTTCAAATGTCGCATACCAGACATGCCGACGGAAATGATCCTTCTGGACCGGGCTTACCGAGTAGCCAAACTGAAGTTTCTACCCGCAGAGGCAGCAAGAGACACGCTGACCCACCTACACTAATACCATGTCAAAGAGGCCATACTTAAAGCTGCCAGGAACCGTACAAACCTTCCAGAAAAATATGGCCAGCTACAGATATATGCTGACCTATCAGCAGCCACCTTACAACGGCGAAGAGAGTTCAAGGAGACAACAGAAACGCTGCGGGAACACAAGATCCCATATAGATGGGGGCACCCGGTGCGCCTGATTATTCAACGCAATGGTACCTCCACCCATGTGTCAACACCAGAGGAAGGACTGAAGGCCCTGAAGTAATGGGACTTACCAGTCCGCAAACAACATGGACGTACAACTTCGCCGCAGCGTCTAAGACAAGACTGGAAGAAGGCGAAAAAATAACCCGAGTTCCACCAGCCTATAGACAGATATGGGTGTTACAGATTCAGGACTGAATGGCGATGCCTCTTGATTGAAGACTTACCTATCTGGTATCATTACACAACCCCCCACACCATACAACACATCTCCTACACAACTCACACTCACATTTGCAAAAAAAAAAAAAAAAAGCACACATAGTTACACTTAGACAAGCCCAGCAAATGGACAGTTGCTCACATGCACGACACCCACCATATGCTCCTTTTAACGCCATTTGAACTGTAATAAGGTCAGTGTCACAGGAGGCCACCCATCCCCCAGTTACCCAAGGGAGGATTGGGGATACACAGATTAAATGGTCTCTCAAATCTAACATCTGTCTGTGGCCGGGACATAGGCATGTGGGACAAAAATAAATAAATGTATATATATATATATCATATGCAGAACTGTATAGACAAGTTTTAGGGCTAATCGTCTACGATATTTGTTTATGTTTTTGATGTTGCCTACCACCATGGTGCCCACTCAGGGTACTCAGCCCAATTTGGGCTCTTTGGTCCTAACCACACTGTTTCTTCTTCTTTTTTCCTGTATTAACTTCCTACCCTCCCTCTCTTACCCAGACCAACCTAGACCCTCCGAGGAGATGACCCTAAGTAAACTTCGAGCTCCAGCGCTGACACAGAAGTCTCGAGGAACGACTCGACCCGCCACGGATACATACCACGCGGAACCGCCATGGCAGCTACTCAGCAATACAGCAAGTATATACTCCACTGCACCATTATTTACACGCATCACACTAGACTCAAACTCCGAGACATACAAGGACACTCAGGGGAAACACAAACCTAACGCTGATAGCGGCACAGGTAGCATTCCTTATAGACCTTCCCTTTATGAAAATATATAGTCACAACGTAAGGGGGCTGAACACCCCTGTTAAACGCCACCTTCTACTACAAGACCTTCGAAAATCCCAACCAGACATAGTATGTCTCCAGGAGACGCACTTCACCAAACAATACATCCTTAAACCCCTCGCATACCCATATCAACAACACGCCACAGCAAAATCCAAAACGAAAGGGGTCTTTGTGCTAGTCAGCAACTGAGTAGCATTCACAGAACATGACCTAGTCATAGACGAGGAAGGCCGGTATATCATACTGGTATGTACCATCAATGATATTACCTACACCATAGTAAATGTATACACACCTAACTCAGAACAACGCAACTTCTTACATAGAACATTAGCTAAAATAGCGCCTATTCAGAAGGGGATGCTAATAATCTGTGGAGATTTTAACCACACTTTAGACTCATCCAAAGGTTCTAAAAGGCAGGGAAACAACCCAGCCAGGAGACAATGCACAACATACCAGAGACTTCTAGATGAACATAACCTCTATGACGCGTGGAGAGTTCTCCCCCCCGGGGAGAGAGATTTCACGTTCTTCTCCTCGGTTCACAACTCCTACACACGAATAGACAGGTTCCTCACTGAAGGAAAACACCTAACGCAGGTACTCAAATGATCAATACAGACTATCACGTGGTCAGACCACGCACCTATCACTATGGAACTAAAGGACAAATTTGAGAGTGACAACAGAAGCCCCTGACGGCGGAATGAAACACTCTTACACAGCAAAACGTTCACAGACCACATAGAAAACATACTTAAAAACTACTTTAAAGAAAACACCACACCAGAGATCTCGTGGAGATCACCTGGCTAGCCCACAAACCCGTCATACGCGGGGAACTGATAAAAAGAGCACACTACCTTAAACGGACGTCCCATGCACAAAGGGTCACCTTCTGCAAACAACTGCACGATCTCAACAAACTAAACCAAACAAACCCATCCCCAGAGCTAAAAAGCCGAATCTCAGAAACACAGGACAAAATACAGGCTTTATCACTTACAAGAGTTGGCTACTCATTACGTAAATTAAAAGCTACTCACTATTCCCAGGGAAACAGAGCGGGCAAAATACTAGCCCAAAGACTTCGAGACAGACAGGCCGCGTCTAAAATAGCACACATACAGGCTCCAAACGGAAATAGACTGGTTGCCCCGAAAGATATCAGTGACGAATTTGCCACGTACTACGAAACCTTATACAACCTTAAAAATGATCCACTAACACCCCTAACACCACCCACACAAATTGATGACTACTTACAAGATGCCCAATTGCCAACCCTCTCACAACAGCACAGAGAAGCTCTCTCAGCGCCTATCACCCAACAAGAAGTAAAGGACACAATAAAAACCCTCCCAGCGGGTAAGGCACCGGGCCCCAACGGATTTGCAAACACGTACTACCATAAATACGCAGACGTCCTAGCCCCTGCACTGACCACTCTATTTAACAACGCTATAGACAACCACTCGCTACCCACAGAACTCTTACGAGCTCATCACCACCCTACCCAAACCAGGGAAGTCCCCGACCACATGCCCAAATTTCCGACCGATCTCCCTACTCAATACGGATGCCAAGCTCTTCGCAAAACTACAAGCCAATAGACTAAAAACTATCCTACCGGACCTCGAACACGACGACTAAGTAGGATTTGTGAGGGGTAGGCAGGGCTCAGATAATACCCGCAAAGTACTAAATCTCATGCATAGCTCTGGAAAACGCGGAGAAGGCCTTTGATAGACTCAACTGGACCTTTTTAAACAGAGTACTCCACAGATTCCGCTTCCCCACGCAATTCATGGCAGCAGTAGACGCCTTTTATAACAAACCCTCTGCACAAGCCCTATACGCAGGATTCCCATCACGGACCATAAACATCTCTAATGGCTCCAGACAGGGATGCCCCCTCTCCCCTCTGCTTTATGTACTGGCCCTAGAACCACTAGCATCCAAAATTAGATCAGACCCAAACATTCATGGTATTCCCATAGGCGACAAAGAATTCAAACTAAACATATTTGCAGATGACATTCTTCTCACCTTAACTCAGCCGCTTATAACCATGCCCAACTTAATGCGACAAATAGATCTCTTTGGCCACCACTCTTATTATAAATTAAATGTCTCCAAAACACAGGCATTAATGATAGAAGTGACTAAAGAGGCGAGAAACAGATTGTAGGAGGCTTTCCCCTTAGACTGGAGGTCAGACTACTTAACATACCTAGGACTCAAAATCACAAAAACACATGCAGAACTCTTCCACGCAAACTATGTAAAACTCCTAAAAGACTTTGACAACACCCTGAAATCATGGGAGGGGAAATTCCTCTCATGGTTGGGGCGTATAGCAGCATTCAAAATGTCGTTGCTCCCAAAACTATTATACCTCTTCAGGACACTACAAATACCTCTACCAAACACCTACCTCAAGTCGGTCACCTCACTACTCATGAAATTTACATGGCAACACAAAAAGAGCCGGGTAGCCGCTAAGATCCTGCAGAGATGGGTAGCAGACGGAGGCCTAGGTATACCAAACCTGTATCATTACCACAAGGCAGCGATACTAAGCACTATGTTAGCAGCTCAAGACTCCCACTACATCCCACAATGGGCAGGAATAGAAGCCTTTTGGCTTAACATAGACCACATCCGCCCTATCTTCTGGACGGACAGTACTCGGAGACCAAAACCATTCCAAGGCCTCCCCACTACTCGGTTGCTGATAGACACATGGGACGGGGTGAGGAAAACTTTAGTTACCCACCCAAAGATACCGATGGCAGCACCACTGCAATCCATAAGCCTGACGATTCCCACCTTTAACCATAAGCCGTGGACGGACAAAGGCGTCACCCACGTACTCCACCTACACAAAGGGGAACACCTCAAATCCTTTACAAGTCTACAGGAACAATTTGACCTACCCACAAAATTACTATTCCCCTACCTCCAAGTCAAATCCCTACTAACAAACAACCCAACCACAAACACCAACATCTAAGTTCGAAAATATTTGCCTATCAAATAAGCCCAACGTCAAATCTCTCTCCACGTGCTGCCACTTGATCATACACAATCAACCACTGACACAGGAATACTACCAAAAGGCATGGCACACAGATCTATGGAACGGAGTTAAGCCCAGAGACAGAAGACACTTGCTGGTAATCCGTTCTTAAGTACGCAGGAATTATTACCAAATCACCTGAAATACCCAGGGTCATCCCTCTACTCCCCACAGAGGCCCCCCTTCCCAACCAACCCCCCTCTCTTCTTCTCTCTCCCTATCTATACCCCCCTCTAACTCTATTCTCCCCACAAAATGTTTGAGACATGTAGTATGCATGATTTATGTACCTAACGTCATTAAGCAGCACTGAAATGCCTACTCTAATTGTAACCGAAACATTCTATCATATATACAATCGCAACTAAGGTATCCAAAATACACGCCCAATTGTAATGCAACTACGTGTCTGAATAAAACTTGCCAAATTAAAAAAACAAACAAAAAAAACTGCAATGTATTATATTGTTGGGTTAAAAGACAGAACCATTGCACCCATTGGACCACTTTATTGAAATGAAGTCTGGGTGACTTTTGTGTCCTTTTAGAGGGACATTATGGTGTCAGGAATACAAACATATTTAGATATTTGGGGTAAACAATCTTTGTATCTCAAAGCACACTGGTTTTGCTGTTGTCGTCTACCTCCTCAACTGAGATCATCAATGTTGGTGATCTCAGCCAATCCAATTTTTCCCATAGGGAATACTCTATATCAGCAGTATTTGATTGAAGAAGCGAATCTAGTGGCTGTCAGGAAAATAGCCACTCACGGTGTGTTAACCATGTCATGAAAGCATTGTCATATCTACAAATCAGCAATGTTTTTACGCAAGATTAAAAGGACAATACACTTAAATTAAGTGGTCTGGGTGCCTACAGTGGTTCTTCGAAGAACATTCTATCTGCCCCTAAGTGGGGAAAAACAGACAAAATTCCTTGTCTCTGGAGAAATGTGTCATGGAGTCACCAGGGCTTGTGTCTACTGTCCCAGAAATTAGACTTTACCAATTCTTCATTCT